CTTCACTAATGTTAGCTTTGTCAATAAGCGTTTTGATGGAAAAGGCATCCGCGGAAATGATTCCCCCACCCTTTCTGAGATAAAGGAGTTGTGGATAGGACCTGGCAGGAGACGCGCTTATGTGCACACTAATAAGAGTCCCCCTGCTCAGCTGCAGATGCTCGTGATTTCACATACCCACACAAACATGTACACAGGCCTACGCATGAAGAAACATGTTCAGGACAAGCTAGAGCTGATTCAAATTACTCCCCACAACTTGTAGAGTACAAATTGCTAAACTGAGAGCATTATTCACACTCATACACAGCAGCATGGAAAATAACGTCTGTTGTTATCGACTGTGACACAACATCCAGATTTGAGTGAATGTGTTGAGACTAAGGATGTCCAGCCACTTTATTAGGTACACCTGTACAATTGTATGTAATTCAATACAACATTTAGATTTGTGATTTTACTGCCTATTTAGATTTGTGTTATTGCTCATCTACCCTATATTTCACTTGTATTATGTGGCATTCATGTTGATGGCAAAGTAAGAATTTCATTGTACAAGGAAACACGTTTCCTAACTGTGCATATGACAAATAAACACTTTGACCCCTTTGACTTCCACCTTAACATCGGTGTTTATGAAGCTCAAAATGTTTCAGCTTTTGGTGAGTGTAGACACTCCCACTGACTTTCTGTCATTAATCTTAAGGTCTGTTTAATTTGTTCATTTCTCACTGTAACTTTGTGACATGTTCAGCTTAGTTAGAAACACTGACGCAGGAGAGGAGCTGAGGGCTGGGAACACTATAGAAAGAGACTAGACAGTCCAACAGACAACAGAAAGAAGTTTTTCTAACATTTTCAACTCCAGAATAATGAGACTCAGATGTGAGAAGAGCATGAGAGAGACGGAGCCAGAGAGAGAGAGAGAGAGAGAGAGAGAGAAAAGAGTCAACAGAGAGAGAGAATAAGAAATACAATCTTGTTTCCAGTATGCAGCAAGGGCTCTTGCTGTCTGTGGGCTATTGACTCCTGAGCCTAAAAGTAACTCATCAATGCCATCAACTACAACTACAGTACAAACCCTCAGTGGAACAGCAGTGAATAGCAAAGCAGAGCTGTCCCAGAACTTGGCTCAGGTGTAAACCTAACAATTTCACATCTGTAAATTTGGCAGGGTCACTGCAGCTACTCTGTATCTAACGTGGATAATATTTCATAATCAGTGTGTGTCACCCTTTAGATACAGCAGAAGATATACTAGAAAGATATTTCAACAATTCCTTCCAATAGCTCCCAGAGGTCAGCAGTGATGCATTCTCTTATGAATTCATCTTGATTAAGTTACTTACATTCAGGTCAAAAGTCACAAGCACCTGTTTAAATAATTGTATATTTTTAAATGCAGCTATAATGTAGAAAATGAACATAAAAATAATAAGTGAAATAATACATTTTTAAATATATGTTAAGCAATCCTTACCTGTTTTAACAAAACACCATCTTAACCTCTTCCACATAATGTACATATTATGACTCAGTTTATAGGAATTATCTTATTTTTCCAAGCTTTTCCAAATTCAGACAGACAGCATCCTTCATGCCTTGTACTCTAATGTACATCTTTGTGTAGAACAGTGAGACAGTATATTTCAGTTAATGCAGTCAAAAGCAAACATGAAAGCAAAAATAAGCAAAGCAGTAGATCATCATTATCATTTTAGATTGTTTTATAGATCCTAGAATCTTTGATTCATCCATATATTCTGACATTTCTGCAGGCTCCATGTGAGCTCCAGGGTTCAGAGATCCCCTTATTGTTATGCTCAGGCTGTTTTATCACTGTGTAGTGACTGTTAATCAGCGGTTTCCATGTGATTTTCTTGTTTGACAACTCAACTCCAAGGACATTTTCTTGTATATTCTTGTGTATATACGATCTATAAAGATGTTCAGCTCTGTTGTACGCAGCACTACAGCAATGCAATCTAAGAAAGGTTAGGCTCTGAGCAGAAGAAAAACAACACTTTGGAGAAACAATGACATGCGAAATGTGAGTAAAGGAAAAGGGCACAGTACTGTGGAAATACCTTAGTGACAGTTGCACTGTTCTACTGCTTGATCATCATTCTGGGGTAGTAGTAGAAGATGACCTTTCCTGGCTAATAGCTTAGCATGGTTAAAATTCAACTGAGTGGAAGAGAGCAGAAAGGAGGGGAAAAATAACACAGTAAGCTTTATTCTACCATTGACACTAACCTTGAAAATGGGCCTTGAAGTTGATGAGCACCTTGTGCTTTAATGTTTGCATGAGAATAGGCTTTAGAGTGTGTGTACTGTGGGTGTGTGCGAATGGACCAAAAAAGCAATTATTGTGTGAGTGTTTGTGGTAGGAACATAAATAGGCACACAGAGAGAGCAACAGTGATACTGTTTTAATCACAGAGCCAGTCAGTGGGTAAAATTAAAGTAGTGACTGGGACAGTTACCGTTGCTTTTTCTCTTCTTTTTGTGTCTCACATAAATGAACTCGAGGACAGCTCTTGCTTCCTCCACCAAACAGACCAAATCTCCCCAGCTGCTTCTTATCCTCAGCAATTTCATTAATGACCCTGCCATGTTCTTACCATCCGTCGTTGCTTGTTTCTTCCCCACTTTTCCCCTTGAGGACTGAAAAAAACTAATTGAAATAAATAAAATGGGGAGCAAATCAGAGTTGATTACATCAGCTGTGCAGTGATGCTGATTGCAAGCTTGTTGAGTAAATGTTGCAGAACTAGTTGGTAATGAGGAGCCTGACTGGACAATACAGACAGCACACATGCCCCTATGGCTGTTGTTATTACCCACTTGTAGGGCCTGGAGAGGCAAAAAGAAAACAGAACGGTCTTCTGTTTGTTTTTATTCACACATCACGTTTGACAAATATGTTTGTTTTTCATTCAGGCAACAGGTTATTGCTTACAAATTCCTCAGAGTAACTGTACAGTATATAAAATTAGTACAACAAACACTATACAGGAAAGACGACACAGGATGAGACTGGAGGAGCTAATTATTGGAATGGGAATGTCTGGAAATGCTATGAAACGAATAGAACAATGAAAGTGAACTGCAAAATTACACAAGCCAGATACGCAGTCTACCGTTTGAGTTGGAGGAGGCAAGCAAAGCATTTGCTAAAAAAAAATTCAGCCATAAAATAGAATTCACATACATAGGTTCTGTAATATTTCACAGCTCCATTTGTTAATTCAAAGACAACTCTGTTTAAGCCAAAATGCAGTGACAGACTGTAGTAAAAATGTCATCTACAAAACAAACCCTGGAGCTGCTCCACCAACAGTGAATAATGGAATAACACTGTAGCAGTACTCATAGTGAGCATTTCTGGTTCTTACTGTAGCTCTAAAAAATACAATTTAAAAAATTATGTAAGAAACAAATCTGTAATGGATTACTTTCTGAAAATGCTAGGTGATGACAACACTGACTCCAGTCTTGATGTTGAAATTTCTAGTTTAGCGAGGCATTTTTCTTCTACCCAGCACATGGTAAATTCCCTTTAAAGCAGCTCGGAACTGTCCCTAACCTCTGTTCATTGGCACCATCGACTAGAAGATGTGCAAAAAACACAGCAGACTAGTTCCCAGCCTCTGAGGGTGTTTTGTGCTGCTGAAAGAGCAACACCCCCTCCAGTTCTATAATCCTGCTCACAAACACACACAAACAGTGTCACAAAAATAACAGAATAATCTTTAGCACCGTTGATGAGGAAATCATGTCAAATGAACAGCAAAAAATTCAGTTCAAATTTTAACATATGAACAAAACAGAGAATCCTCTGTGCAGGGCAGAAAAAGCGAAAACAGGTTATGTCAGCAATTCTAAAATGCTTTCAAGAGATGTGTGAAATGTCTCTTAGTACTGTATAAAGAACTGCAGTTAAGACTAGTGAATGTTTGAATCAGCATTCTCTTAATTCTTGCCCTGAAATATCCCCAGCCTAGTTGACGATGTATGTCACAGGAAGTACATACCACAGCAGAAAGGGTTTTAGTCTCACATGTACAGTACTGTAGTCTGTGGAAACATAGAGGGCCCAGAAGGCTTATTATCAAGCTCATGAAGGGAAGCAGTAAACAATCTTATCTGTTCAAGTAAGTGTCTGGTTCAATAACTAGCTACTCCGATTGAATACTAATCAAGGTAATTCATTGAGCAAACTACAGTTGAAGGGTAAAAAGAACAATTTATCATTCCTGCAGTCAGGAAATTAATTATGGTGCTTGTATGGAATTAATATGCTAGGCTAGTTCACAACTGCTAAGCAATTGTCATTACAGTGAAATCTGTGCATGCAAATGAGAGTTTCTATGTCTCAGTCTTTATAAAAGATTAGGTAGCACCTAGTCCATACATGGTCTGAAAAGCCCCACTTGACAGACCCACACCACAGAATGAGAGACTGTTTCTTACTGTTAGGTATTTTTAGTCAGATAGATATTGGTTAGATACTTTATGTATTAGAAATGTTTAGTGGAGATAGGATGTCTAGTTAGACTGTTAAATGCTTAGGCATGCTTATGAGTTTCTACAGGGTACATCTGGTCAAGGATAACTAGAGAGAAGAGTTGATGACTGTCAGCAGACAGGGTGTTTAATATTATTATTACGACGTGTATAACTGTAGCCTTAGCCATAATATGTTCTTATGTTTAAGTCACGACATGTTCTAGAGGTCGTGAGAATGTTTTTAGCTACACACCACTTAACCAACAGACACACCCATTCACACATTGATTTACTTCATGTTTTGACTACTGCCATGGCCAGCTGCAAAGTTGGCAACAGAGACGTCTTGGTTGACGTTTCTGTGTAGTATGGGGCTAGCCCAACCGAGGGGATATAATGTATAGGCCTGGTGGGTTCAGGGTCTTTCATCTTATATCTGCCTGCGTGCAGTTTGGAGGTGCAAGATACCTGAGCGTGTAATGTTAATTTTACCTGTGATCCTTTGAATAAATCAGCACTGTTTTGAGTTAGCAATGGTAACAAGAACCAAAGACCAACATTACCATAATCAGACAAATATGGCTCATTTATAAGTGGTCATTGTCAAGTGGCACAGTCCTCATAATTCAACTTGATCAATTATAACACCCTCCAACATTTCCCTTTTGAAAATATGCTTCGTTCCCACTGTTGCATGTCCACTTTTTTGCCATTCTTCCTACTGTTGTAAAGCCATAGAACCTATTTCACTGGCTGTTGAAGAGTCTTAAATAATATTTCACAAACCCAACACATACAGGAACATACTGTAATGTAATAAATATTGCTTTGGGCAGTGGTAAAAGTTCATTTTCTTTCACTGAAAATTTGCTGTTCAGGTCTTTTGTTGCTGGCAAGATGTTAACCATTGAAGCATACTTGTCCAACTTGGAATCCAAACTTCTGATTGCTATTGCCAAAGTCAGCAGGAGCCACGTCTATAATAGGAAGCAGTTCTGCTGAAGGCGAGTCAATCTGTAGAATGGTCCTTTCTTGACCTTTGCGGAACTGAAAGAGAAAAATTATAGCCATTATTAGAATTTTTGCTCTGCATAATTCAAATAACTAGCTCTCTCCACTCCTACCCTAAATCCCTTTCCAGGTCAGTAATTCATGAGTGCCCACTTTTATGTGCTGACAAGAACAAAACATCTGATAAAACACATTACTTCCATTAAGGCTAATCCCTACTTGTACAGTTAGTCTCTTTCCACGGCATATTCCAAAACTGACCTGGCATCCATCATGTACTGCACTGACAAAGGGGCTTTTGGCTTGGGTTAGCTCCTCGTCATTACTGCCCCGAAAGCGGAGAGCATGCTGGTAGGACTGGGAGGTGCTGTCAAACCAGCCAGCTGAGTTTTGGCAGGTGTAGGTGAAACTCTGCTTGGCTGTGGCACTCAGTAGCTTCAAAAAAGTCAGTTGAACTACATGTACAGGGTTCCCGTCTCTGTCAGTGTAGGAAAACTGGATGACAAAGATATATAGGCATTAGTGTACAACACAGACAAATAATTGAAATATGTACTATAGTCATACGTATATACAATATGTAATAACAAATTCAAAACATAATTTCTCTTAAATGGCACAAAATCACATATTCATTCATAGAAATGAAACCAGAGAAAAACACGCCTCAGTCTAATAATAATGTGTCCGAAAAACACACATTCTAATTCTCTTTCCATCCCGGAAATTACAAATCTCCCCCACTTAATAAAGGAATTTGCAGTTTAGTCAGAATCAGAACAGACAGGGAAAGTAAAGCAGAAAGTAAGAAAATTAAGGGAAGGGGGAAAAAAAACTAAGCAATCCAAGCACTTTGTGTGTGAAGGTTACTGAGCTGCAATTGTGCTGGCAGCTCTGTGATTATCTGAGAGGGTTATGAGACCTCTGATCAGGTGCACATGAAAAACCAGTGTTCTGAGCATGCTGGCCTGAATGCTAGTCAGTGAACTGGTGCTGCCAGTGACACTGTGTGAGTCATTCTGACTGATGAAATGAGCTACTGGCAAACCAAATCAGCTCACACATGGACTTGTAAATGACTACTGAATTATATAGTGAACAGATTTACAAATAAACCCAAACATTCGCATTCAATCAGATGCACATATAGATGGACACACAGGCACACCTGCTGTGCATATTTATGTGAACACACTCATATGCATGAATATCAATCAAACACTCAATTAAGAGCAATTTAGCAGGAAAAAAACTGGCTGGCATTTGGAGCCAGCTGAGATTAATGGTAGAACATGAAATGTGATATTTATTTGTTATTTGTTTGTTTCTTTCTTTGTTTCTGGTACCTGCTTGCCTTTCCTGTATTGGCTGTACCAGCTTCCTGGCTTCTCTTTGCTCCATGCTGCTAATTTCACCTAGACACAGAGGATGATGAGTAACATTTCAGGTTCAAGGGATATAAGGACTGATTTGTGGTTTGATGTAATATGATGAGATTGGCAGGAAGAAATTAAACACTTACCATCTCTATTTTCTTGTCAGGGTAGAGACAGGTCTCTCCATCAGCTGTGAAGTTACAGTAGACTTTGATGGAGTCTCGGTTACAGCCCTGGTTAGGATCTATCCAGTAGTCTCCTACAAATTGCACAAAGAAATGTCAAGATGTCCCCAGATGTTAACACAATGAACAAATCTAGAATAACAACATGATAGCATGTAGCCTGTGAAATTAATAATAGAATGTGTGCCTAACTGACGTGTCCAGTTTTCTCTAGACCATTTTTTCTTGGAGGATTTTCTCCAAGGATTTTTATGTTTTGGGGATTTTTTTTTTTAAGTGGTGAAATATCACCATTATGAAGCAATGTCTCTGCTAACCATCTCTGTAGTCTCGTTGAACCATCATGAGCTCTTTGCAGGTTCGGGCAGGGCTCTGAAAGGTTCCCAGAGGTCTCCTCATCAGCTCCACTTCAGTTTTCATAGATGAGAGTGTAGCAAAGACTTCTTCCATTCCCTCCGCATCCTCCAGAGGCTGATCTCCCTGAAGGAGCTCCTCCATGGCCAGATCCACATCTTCTTCCCTGGATGGTGCTGCATCTCCTGCCTGATTGGAGTGCCTTCGTCTCTTCCGCTTGCCCTCCCTGATAGGTAGGGGCTGAACCATTGTTCCAGGAAGTCCCTGGAGGTAGCAAAGAGAAGTGAACAAAAGGTAAGAAAGGTTAAAAAAAAAAAGGTTACAGCTGGGACAGATGTAGACCATTGCAGGTACTCACTGGAGGTCCTGGGGGGCCAGCAGGACCTGGATCTCCTCTGGGACCAATGGCACCCTGGGGAATAAAAGACAACAAACCTTTTTCTCAGCAATGTCTCACCTGGAGCCTCTCACACCACTTGCTAAACCCTGGCTTTATGCAGGCAGATATGACTGCTGCTTTATAGGATTATCCAGCTGTGTACATCAGCACGCTGTGGTCAAAGCCTTGGCTCTCAAGCCACACTGTAGTGGTTTTCATAACATCACACACACCAGAACTAAATCTTATTAAAAGGACCCAATGGAAAAATCACACACAAGCCAAGCATAGCTGTCCAGCAGGCTTTTGGTTCCAAAGACATGCAGTAAGCACAGAAGAACATTATAATAATGCAGCGCTGTAGTGTTAAGCCAACAAACACACTTCTTCTCTCTTCCTCAGCATAAGCTCCCAGCAGCTGCTAATGAAGCTAAGGTGTGAGTACAGGAATGGTAATGTATAAATAAAAAAATGATTGGACTCACTGTGTTTCCCTTTGATCCTTTCTCACCAGATGCACCCTAACAGTGGTGAGGATAAGTAAGTAAGTAAATAGTAAAAATAGAAATAGAAATACAAAGCTTAAACTTATAAAACAAAAAAAGCAATCAACTATTCACTGGAAAATCTGACACCTGACACCAAAATTTTAGCGTTAACTACTAAGTTACAATAGGTTAATTACAGTACTATATGCTCTCTGGGTGGAGTGGGAGCTACTTAGATCCTTGCAGGTAGAATATCAGCTGAGTTGTAAATATTAAATGTCTTAAATGAACATTCATTAAGTTTCACTAAGCAGTTGATCAGCCCATTCACGCCAAAGTCATAGAATGACTATACTTAGTCATTATAACTGAAAGACAATATGTTTTAATGCCTTTCTTGTGTTCTTCTCTGTATTTATTTATTTTGCATCTTTATATTGCACTAATAAAATAAAGATGCAGCAGACCACAGGTATGAACTTCATATGGGCAGTTCAACCATTACTTTTCCAACTATTATCTGGTTATATTGTTAATCATTTTGATATACTATACATTGCTTACATAAGTTGATTTCCACCCACCCCAAAAAAGAGATTATCGTCATAGGATGAACAATAATAAATATACTATATAAATACAGTATAACAATTTTACTGCTAAATATATAAAAACATTCCTAAAACTCATCTAATCAACTGACTTATCACACTGTAGCTGTAAACCCAGTCAGTCATAGAAATTGATGATACAGGAGCATAATGAAATCATAGCTATGTCACTTACTGATAGTCCAGGTGGTCCCGGTGGGCCGGTAGGACCAGATAGACCGACCACACCCTAGATATAATGATAAAGCTATTTTGTTACTGAACCGAATTTTCCTTGTGCATAAATGTATCAGACACATCATGCAACTATATGTACCTCATCTCCTTTAGACCCTTGTATACCCTGGTTCCCTGGCAGTCCTCTGTCCCCCTTCTCACCAGCTTCTCCTGGAGGGCCAATTAGACCAATCAACCCACCGTGACCCTGCAGACAGAGATATGATCCATTATCACTATTTCCCAAAGTTTAAACAGATACAGATACAGTACAATATTCTAAAGGCTAAACACTCACCTTATCTCCCTTGTTTCCAGGGGATCCTTTTAAACCTAGAAGTCCTGGGGGGCCCTGTTAACAATGTTAGATGTATTAGTTAGCAACAACACTGCTGTAGACACTGTACTATATATGAAATATGGTTTGATTGTGTTGGGTTTGAATCCTAATTGATATTCATAAATGTCCCAGATCCCCTATGTCATAGGCTTCATTATCAGGAAACAATAAGGATCTCACTATTGGTCCAGGTGGTCCAGTTTGCCCTGGTGGCCCATTTAATCCTTGTTCACCCTGAAAATACACACATTAATTAGATTTCAGCTTATAGAATGTATTATATAAAAGTGACAACAAAAGAACCTTGTGTTGTTAAAAGTAGTACCACAAATGCTGGAAAACACTTACAGCTGTCATAGTGACCAATGTCATGCCAAGCTTCAGACTAATGTTAGTAGCATTTTGCATTCAGTACTAACCGCGGGACCTGGGATTCCTCTAAGCCCTTCTGGGCCAGACCTCCCTGGCTGCCCTTGGGGTCCCACTGGGCCTGTCTTCCCTACTGGACCCTGGGTTCCTGGTGTCCCCTAGGGAGAAAAAGGAAAAAGACAGACACAAAGGACACAAAATTAGAAAGGCTTTGATGGAACACACAATACACAATCACTGAGCTCAGTGTCAGTCTTCATCCTTACCTTGGCTCCCTTCATGCCTTGCTTCCCCTCTTGTCCTGCAGGACCTACATGACCCTGGGTAGAGAAAGACAATTTTACTAATGATGAGCTACTGTGCTAACTTCAAACATATACTCTATAGGGGTATAGACACATGCATGAGCATTAACATTCAGTATACAGTGTGCTACGCTCACCCTCCGTCCAGGAGGTCCTGGAGGACCTGGCTCTCCAAACGCTCCGGGGGGTCCCTGCAGATAACCCAAAAATTAATTGCGTTAAAAGAGGAATCCTTTAATCCTAGTCACAGTAATGAATGAATCTCATTATGTCACAGATAATAAAGACTTCAGCAAAACATACAAGCATTATAAAAGAATTATTATTTTTTTTATTTAAAATAAAATAAATATCACTCCTTACTGGTATTCCAAGGTGCCCATTGTCTCCTTTAAGCCCTGGTCCACCATCTACTCCCTGAAAGAAGAAATGTCACGGAGGAGAAAAAAAGGATTGCAATGAATAATTGCAATTACATAAATTGCATAACAATTACATGAAAAATAATTACATAAACAATAAAACTCACATTGACACCGGGCTCTCCAGGGGGTCCTGGGTCACCGGGGAATCCAATAGGTCCCTATAGACAAAAAGAGTGAAGTATCATATGCATGAAATTAACAGAGCTACAGGAACAGTGATTGAGAGAGATGAAAACTCACAAGGCTGCCTTTGGATCCATCCTCCCCTGGTGTTCCTCTGGCTCCCGGAGGCCCAGCTGCACCAGGATGGCCAGAGTCACCCTTCTCCCCAGCATCACCTTTGCCACCCTGAGATACCAGCAAATCAAATGACAATCACTGAAAGGATGAAGATGCAAAGCAAGGAAAGGATAAATATGTCCAAAACATGTAAGCAACATAACTCACAGCAATGCCAGCCTCTCCAGCTGGCCCAGGGTCACCAGCTTCTCCATCATCACCCTGGTAGAGAAGGAACATTCAGTAAAATAAAAACGCACCACGCACACAAGGGCACAAGCCCACACATACAAACCACCACCATTCTGCTGTAGAGTATCTGCACAAGTGTAGTTGCTTATGGGAAATGCTGACCTTCTCTCCAACAAGTCCAGGCTGACCAACTCCCCCAGGCATTCCAGGTAGGCCCTGATGCAGGAGAGAGAGCAGCTTGAACCAAATATCATTAAACAAGAGCAAGTTTAAAATGTTCATTTGATTTTTGAATATCAAGTTCTTGGCACAGTATTTTTGTTTGTTTGTTTGTCAGCAGTTCTGCTCACAGAAGGCTGAAACTGGAACAAAATTATCACAACACAAGGAAAAACACTGAGAGTCGGGTTTGTTATGTGGATAGTGTCTGAGTCACGCAGTAAGGTGGATGCTGCTTCTCCTCAATCAGTTTGTATGTTTATTTTGTGCATGTGTATTGTATGTGCATGCATGTTAGTGTGCATACATGTACGTTTGTGTTGTGCTTTGTGTCTTGAGACAAACACAGTAAAATGTCTTTTGTAGAGTACACAAACAGCCATACACTACTACTGAGCTCTGGCTGTACACTACTTTTCCTCATATGCCATCACATTTTGCTGTTTTCCACTGTGTCAGTCCATTTGTGGATCCCTCCATCTGTGCTACTCTGCTCTATTTCCATGTGTCCTGTGATGAACCAGTAGCGTGGCTCATGCGGTTTGCTGCAGTTCACTGCTAAATAATTGACCAGTATGACAGGCTGTAGAAAGATGGCCATTACTAGAGGTAAATATAACTGCCTCATGTGGATGATAGTCTAATACATCTTACTGATTCATAGAGCTGTAAATATAACTCTGTCCCAGGGATTATGTCCTAATACTGCTCAATAATTCAAGCTTCAAAAATAGTGGAGGTTCTGTGGCAAGAAGTGTTTAAATAAAGAGACTATATGTGACATGAAAGGATAAACTATTGTTCACTTTGAACTTCAGATAATACTGCCTTAAAAGAGAGTCTCATTCTTTCCAAAGTGAATTCATCATTATATTTCAAAAGGTATGAAGCTTCCATTAGTTGAAAACATCAGAGCTCCAATATTCACAAGGGTGTGTGCACTTTCAAAACACATTTGTGAAAACTGAGTTAATACAATTTTTTTAATGTACAAAATTAAATACATAAATAATTATTTTGCCTTAATGATAGAATTTTAGAAACTGACTAATCAAAAATGAAGAATATTTACAAACTTCAATGAATTATCTTAAACATGCAAGAATATCAGATCTGAGAGACAGACATTATTAAAAATTATGGACATTATTCCAGTTCCAGTTATAATATATGGTAATGCTGATTAGCATTACCAAGTGAAATTTATGCTGGGGCATTAATAGTTTCAACTATTTTATTTACACTTATTTTTTGCAATGTTTTCACTAGAAATAATGTTGAGGAAGAACATCTGACTCAACTGTGTTTTGAAGAAATACATGGTGTGAACAGCTTGTTGATAGAAATGGCAATAAAGCCTGAATTGTGCTTCCCTGGAAAATTCCTTTTATCCCTCCCTCAGTGAGACTCAGTAATATATTACTCATCCCCACATCCAAATCACAATATGTGATTAAAAAAAAAAAGAAATAAAAAAGTCATGCTGTACTCTACCTCTCCACCAACAGGCCCCTGAGGGCCCCGTGGGCCATGCTGTCCTGGAGGCCCCTGTAGAGAGAGAAATAAAAATTTTCCACTAAGATCTCAGTGCAGGCAATAAGAATATACTGCATCAATAAAACACACAGAGAAAAATAAACTGAATGTAAGCCAGGGGTTTGCTGGTGCCTCTTAAATTAAATGAGTTAGAAGTCAGCCCACGGTGAATTGCTTATGCAGTGGCCCCAGTATCTCTGATCATTATCGAAGTGACACAATGAAGACATCCGTACAGGTCATTACATTCAGGATGACACAGACCCTGATTCTTTCTCCCTGTCCCCACCTCCTCTTTCTCTCTCTCTTTCATGCTCTCTTATTAATAAGAATCCTCCATCCTGTGATATGTGACACCATATTCTTTCCGTCACAGTGATGACATGCGATTTGATTCCTTTTTGCTGCTCAAGAGAGCGCCAAGCAATTCATCCTAATTGTGCTCAGCTTCAGTTTCAGTTATGTTGCGCTTCACTCTGAATCTCTCTGAAGTCTTGCAGGGAGCCTTGTGTTGTAATGACACTGAGACAGAAAGGGAGACAATCTGCCCATAGAGAAAGACTGCATGCAACTAGAGCACATACATATCCTTTCTGGCAAAGAGATACATGAGCATTAGAGGAGAGAATTCTGTGATCCACAACACTCACACATGAATGAAACTTCCCCACGGAGTCCTCAGCATCTTTTCCCCCCTCTCTCTCTTACTCTCTCTGTCTCTCTGTCTTCTGCTTTGGTTACATTTTGATGCATTCCATCCCTAATCTCTGTCTGTGGAGAATCAAGGCTATAGAGAATCTTGTTGAGTGTGTGTTCACGGTTGACACCGTTGTGAGATGACTTTTACAAAGAAGGATGCTCATTAGACAGCCAAGGCTGAAGCTAATCTGATTAGTAACTGTCACACCGTCTTCCTGCTCACAATCAGTGCCCCGCCTCTTCCTTCCACTCCATTGCTACACTGCCTCCTTTCTGTCACTCTCTCTTTTCTTTTTTAAAAATCTTTTTCTTCTTTATGTACACAGGACCACCTCTTCATTCTCTGGGCTTGTCTTTCTTGCACACATAGTCATGGTGTATTTTGTCATTCATGCTCAACCTTGAAGCTCTATCATACATTGAAAATATGACTGATGACTGTGATATATTCAAAGGATTAATACTTTTCACACATTATATGTTACATGCTATAGTAATATGCTTATTAAGCTAGCATAATGTTAACTGTTATGGACAACAGCAGAGCTAAAGTGGCACATTCATTGCTTTGACTAACACTTCAAAACCGCACAAAGAGCAAGCATTGTTCGACTGTCAACAGCATCATTATGTCATGACTGTGTACTGTACGAGTTATAAGTTTAAAAACAGCTGCATTCAGTGTAGGTGTGTTTCCAAGGCCTTAATATTGTGTACTCTTGCTCACTGGCAGGCGTATTTACTTTGAGGAGAACCATGATCAACGTATTTGTCACGCCTGTGCATTGTTTTCCTTTTTGAAAAATGTATATTCTCCCCAGGTGAGGCAGTCAGGGTAATCAAGGCTATTACTGTGGAAACACTCTTAGCTTAGTGTAGGAGTAGAACAGCTACATTTCTTAATCAAAAATTAGCCAGTCTTAGATTTTTGTATTTTATATTTTATAACAGTTGCACACAAGACTGGTCTAACTGCAAAACGATGGCTGGTTTTAATCTAAAGATTAGTCTAACACCTCTTTGTTGATCAGGGTCTGAACTGTATTCAGACTAATCAAGGACCAGAGCAAACACTGCCTGGAGTTTGAAGGTGATAAACATTAATGATTATCAGCAGAGAGAAAAAGGTTGGTTCAAGAGTTTTGACACTAATGAACTAAATAGGTGGCACTTATTAAACTTTAATGAGCTGTGGTGGGTTGTCTGTGTACCAGCTATAGTTCATAGATCCCTTGAAACTTTACAATACTGTAATTATAATATCTGCCATTAGGTAAATCTGGGAAACACCAGGTCAGACTGAATCTTAAACCACACAAAGCAAGATTTCTCTTCAACTTTAATTACAGTCTTTTGTTTCTATAATAGTCCAGTCAGAAATAAATTCCCTCATCTTACAAACTAATAATTTGCCACTTTGTTACCGTATGTAACAGTATGGATAGTATGGACTATAACAGCAGACTCGTGACGAGTGTTGTATGTGCTGACGCTGCTGAGCAGTACTCACCATTGGGCCAACATGCCCGCTCTCTCCTTTCTCTCCTGGTTGTCCTGGCATTCCCTACAAATGCAGATATGATGAGAGTAGAGCCGCAGGCATGGAATTAAAAACAGCTATAATCTAAAGTACAAATATGAAAACAGAGATGAAGTAGTTGTACTGTGGCCAGTCTTGAGCTGATTGTAATTTTTACCTGTAGTCCAGAAGGACCAGATGGCCCCTTAAAGCCTCTGAGTCCTTCATCTCCTTTTGCCCCATTCATACCCTGCTGTCCACGAGGACCTGGCTCGCCATCTGCACCCTGAAACACACACAAACACACCAGCATTCTTAACACTACACAAATTGAATCAACTTATCATATGATGATATGCCTTCATATGGTGCATTCAAAGTAAACACAACATACAGGCAACCCGGGCTGGCCTACAGGGCCTTGAATTCCAACAGGTCCTGGGGGTCCCTAGAAAAACAGAGGGACACACATGATTAAAACCATCTGCTCCACCAGATAATGCACTAGCCAGAGAAACAATTATTGTAATTAATTAACCCAAACAATTATAAGCCAGTTTGTCCTCTACCTCATAGTGATGCAAAGTAATGTTGTGCTGTTAATGTAGGACTATTCACATGAAATTTACACTCACAGCCTCTCCTTTGTCTCCTTTGCTGCCCTTCTGGCCTGGTCCTCCTGTCTCTCCCTATGGAGACAAACAAGCACACATGAACACACACAAACAATTGAGTCCATAACTCAGCCAGCACTTTACAGCAGTGCTACAGCCCATGCTAGCTGTCCAGTATAACTACCTTGTCTCCATCCTCTCCTGGAGGCCCAGGAGATCCTGCAGGCCCTGGTAACCCTACAGATCCCAGTTCTCCATCTTTTCCGGCTGACCCCGCAAGCCCCTTACCTCCCTAAAAAAAAAAATTGAAACAATGAAATAAATGAAGTACTGCATTATACTGACAGGTGTGTTTATTATTTTGTCCAGCTTGTTTATATCAGTGAGGCTAGACTAAACATCTTCCTGTATAACACAGCATGGTTCAATAGCAGCACAAACTACATTTTCCAAAATGATCGTACAGTTGAATCAACACTTCTCTAAAACAGTTTCAACAAAACATTATCACCATCATGAAGAGAGGATTTACTGCAGGACTGATGGATTATACTGCATTTGTTTTAGCTGGGTGTACCTAATAAACTGCCAAGTGAATATACTTATTAGCTTCATCTAGCAGTATAACACATTGATTAATGTATCATACCAGGAAGCAAACTCACAGCCAAGAAAGCAGGCTTGTTCACAGTCACATTTTCATCCTCCCTTTCTCTCGCTATCGTGTTCCTTCTGTCTCTTTTACCTCTCTCCTGCTCCCTTTCTCATAATGACACATTCCAATGCCAGAGCACATGTTGTTTATTACCCAGTGGGGGGAGGTGATGGTACAGGATGTGTTAGTGGACATTGTTGCCTAAGAAACAAAATTAGCAATGTTCTAAATCTTACTGGCTCGCCTTTCTCTCCCACCGGCCCAGCAGGACCCAGGCCACCAGGCCGTCCTGGTTGTCCAATAGCGCCAGCTGGCCCAGCAGGGCCTCTCTCTCCGGTGGCACCCTGAAAATACAAGGAGATAGAGAGGTGATATGAGTATGTCACATGACTCGTTCTTTGATTTAATGTAGTGGTCATGATCACTGATCACCATGGAAACAGCCTCTTACTTTATATGTCACACCATTCTATACAACATGAAAGATAAACAGAGACCATGGCAGGAGAAGCAAACAAACCCTGACTTACAATGGGTCCTGCAACACCAGGTAGGCCCTCTCCTCCTTTCAAACCTGTAGAACCCTGGAAACACACAGGCATAAACTATTTTTAGAATAAGTGCCAAGTTATATTATTTGTGAAACTTACAGTAAGTAATTGGAATACTGTTGTGGTTTTAAGTTTAAAATTTAATTACAAGTGCTATAGTTCAAGAGATATTGATAGTGAAAGAAACTGAGGATGTGAGATGTAAGGAATCTTGAGTTACCATTGCACCAGGGTTCCCTCTGCTCCCTCTGAAGCCTTGGAGCCCAACAGGACCACTTTTCCCTGAGGCTCCCGGGGGACCTGGGTCTCCCTGGTAACCACACATACATAGACATGTGATTAAATATAAGACAAGTAGCCAGCAGACAGCAGGCCCTTATGCAGTCATAAATAACACCAACCAGCAAGTCACACCAAGACGGAACGTTTATCCTTTATGAGCTATTATACTCTCAACACCTCGAGGTTCCTTCTGTTATTTATTAGCAGTTTAGAGGGTAGGATGAGACCCAGGAGATAAGATATTCAGGCAGTGCTGAGAGAGTCGTTGGGCTAATATCCAATATAACAGTAATAAGGTGATGTCGGTAAATGATTATGAGCCTGACATCATAATGAAAACCTCTTACCTTGGCACCCTCCTTTCCGGTAGCCCCTGGTAAACCATGCTCTCCTGGTGGTCCTGGTGGGCCTGGATGGCCTCTATCTCCAGTTAGTCCTGTCTCACCAGATTTTCCCTGAAAACCATTAGATTACATAACATCACGTAACAGTTGCTGTTTAAAACAAACAGCTGTTTGCTTGAGAATCAACTAATATACTATGGGCTGATCCTCTTACCTGTGGTCCAACAACTCCTGGGGGACCAGGGAGTCCATTCTTGCCTTGGAAGCCCTGAAGAGTAAAACAAGTTAGTTAAGTAACGTACTCTGTAAAGTAGATAATGCTGACTCAGTTCCCTGTTAAAGCTACAGTATGTGGCTTTTTTCAGATATTTCTGTTGTAGAAATATGTTTGAAACCTTGTCTTAATGTGAAGATGTGCTGTCGAAGCCACTTGTGGCCCACACTCATCGAAGAGCACCGGCAGTGGTGCAAAGGTTTTAAACAGGATTGACTTCTCTAACTGATCAGAGGTTTTCAGTTGCTTCTGCTTGATCAAAAAGTTTTGTTGCATTCTAATTTATTGCAAATTCATAACAACAAATATCTAAAGAGCTGGACAAAGCCTGGCAGAGCGTAGCAGATCTTAGCAGAGCATAGTAGAGCAGGAGAGGGAGTGCTGGGTGAAGCAAAGTGGATTGATTTGGAGTTTCATGTTAGTGCAACCTTCAGTTACATATTGTAGTTTTAAGTTAAACCTGTAGTGTGCACCTCATAGAGGAAAATACTATATTCTGTTTAGCATTATTAAGGTTATAGGTGACTCACTGGCTCCCCTCTCTGTCCTGGATGACCCGGTATTCCATCTTTTCCAGGTGGACCCTGAAAAGGAGGAATTTTCTTTCATCACTGATATAAAGTGAACATGACCGTGGATGGCCATAAAATGTGGGATGAGGTAAAAAAACAAAAAAAACAAAACAGTTACACTAAATCACAGGGCAAACAGTATACAGTGCACGTTGGCCCACTCACATTAGGTCCTTTAGGTCCTGGATGGCCATGGCTTCCCTGTGGTCCTTGTGGACCCTGGAAAATAATAACATTGATTGTTAAAACTCTGACATCAAACCGCCGGTAGTACATTCTAGTGCCTGTATACTGACTTTTGATTTGATAAGAAAATGCAGTTTCTTAAGTTATACATATATGATCTTATTTAAGAAGTGTATACGTTATTATCCAAGAGTCAAAAATTACCCGTTCTCCAGGGGATCCTGGAGGACCATCTTGTCCAGGAGAACCCTACCAGGTGGACAAGACAGAAGACAAAAAAGGGCAGTTATTGTACAAAGACCTGAGCCACACAAAACAAATTTAACTTTCTGCCTGCCAATACATTTCTACAGTAGCTATCCCAAGGTGGTCTTTGAGGGTGAGAGCGTAAACTGAGATATGTCCTGCCAGACAGACGCTTCTCACTGCACCAGATGGCCTGTCATAAGTGAACAGCAACAACCGGTTCCAACTTGGTCAGCGCAGTCATCCATATTTTATGAGACAGCCAGGCCTGAGTTTACATACTCTATGTGTAAATGTATGTGCATATGTCTTTGTTTATGTCAATGTGTCAGCTTACTTTTTCTCCTGGCTTTCCAGTGGGCCCCTTAGCTCCTCTTCCCCCTTGGGCTCCCTATTGGAAAACAAACAAGAGCCTGATTAGCACATGCATAACTCATCTGAAGGTGGCAGATAAATGTCTGGCAAATTGAAAACACAGCAGTAATGTAACAGTGTGCCTCACTCCCACAGATTGTGGTAAACTGATGATAGAAAATATAACTTTACACTATACATTGAGGAAAACATGGTACGTATGGCACCTGTGTTTACTGTAGCTGTACTTACATTAGAACCTCTTTGGCCTCCAGACCCTGGCTGACCAGCTGGGCCCTGAATTGTAGAGGTTAACAGTGGATTTATCCTTCAGGTATTTATCACTCAGTAGATCTGACACTGAAAAGTGTAAATATTTTAAACAAGTCAAAATGTGATGTGGATTAAAATGTCAGTTCAGTCCTCACCCTTCGTCCTTTCTCTCCTGGGACCCCGGCCACACCAGGGAAGCCAAGCGATCCCTGGAGACACGTGTAGAGGTTAATCATCCTCAGCCTTCCATTCATCACATGTTACCCCCAGCGTCTCATTAACGTATAATTAACTACTGTATCACATTAAAGTAAACCTAATCCATGAGCTCAACACAGCCTTAAATACACCATTCATCAACATGTAATGAATTGATGTCACTAATGAACTGTTAATAAAATAGCTTTTTTTTTTTTATAAGCCATTTATCACCCTTTTAACCAGACAGGAAACAGTCCAGACAAAGACATGCATCTTGCTGGTTAAAGCTCTGATGAAGGAACCCCAGGACACATTACTGATCATAATTGCTCATCAATGCTAAATCACCTTAGGACCCTGTCTTCCTGGGTATCCTGGCAATCCAGGCACACCAAGCCTACCCTGCAGAGAGATTGGGAGAAATGAGAGGAGGGGGAAAAACTGAGAAATATTAAAAAGAAAATTGCAGGAAGCCCATTAAATTAAGATTTGTATTATATACTGCTGACTGTGCATATACCAGTACAGCAAGATATCTCTAAATTAATTCATAGTAATGGCAGAAAAATCAAATGCTTAAACATGTGAACTGGTTCAGTGGTAGTTTGGCTGTAGAAGAAGCCTGTAACCAGATTAAAATCTAACCATTTCACTTATTTAATGAGAAAGTTATGTCACAACTGAAAGCTGAGAAGAAATTTAACTGTACTATCTAACATTGTAATGGCCATAGCAGCATAATGTAGGATTAGATAACAGTTTTCTTTCACAGCCTATTGATTGCCCTATCCTCCTCTTTTGTATCCTAAACTATGTAATGTACAATTAATATTTTAGAAATGAACCTTCTCGCCAGCTATCCCAGGAGCGCCCAGATCTCCCAGTAGTCCTACTTGGCCCTTTGGCCCCTCTGGTCCATCCTCTCCACGAGCACCAGAGGCTCCATTATCACCCTGCAGTTAAGAATGAGGGAAGAAGGGAAATGACAGTTATCATCACTCTAATAAAGTGAAATAGAGTGATATGATACTGGAGTGATTTAAGGGCACTCTCACCCTGTCTCCCTTGACGCCCATGTCACCTTTGGACCCAGGGAAGCCATCTTCTCCCTGCGATGCATTTAATGAAAGCTCTTTAATTATAAATGGCACAATTACTTCATCAACCGTCTTTCCTCATAAGACACAACTCACAGTTTAACAACAAGCTGTAGAACAAAGGTTCACTATCTTTTTCACTCACCTTCTCTCCTTTGCTCCCCTTTAGACCCCTAACTCCATCTGCTCCCTTTGAAAAAGTGGGGAAAAACAATGGATTTAATAAGAATATAAAATCATGGACAAGCCTGATCTTAAGAACACACTGGAGTTCATACATCACTGGTTGCCTGTATTTTCAGATTGAAACATCCTAAAACACTTGAAATGTTTTAGAAGTGTGCATTGATTTTCTCCTGATGTAAGATTGAGCCAACAAGTTCAGGTTTCTGTAAAGATATTTAGCCAAACTACCAGATATACCAGTCATATGAATGTTATAAAAAAATTAAAAAAAACACCAAGCAGAATGCCATTTTATGGCTTCACTTTTAATTCCTCAATTTCAAAAGCATACTCAGTCAAAATGAATGGTTCCACTCCTACACACACAACCCTGCTCTGTCTTTCTACTCTCCATCAAATGTTCTCCACTCTCTTGTTGGTATTTCCCTTGAGAACTGAGGAGCGTTCCCTCCATTTGTCATCTGTCAGTCATAGACTCAAACAGCTTGTCTGTCACAGGTAGACAAACACGCAGGATGAAATGTGCGAGAGAATAAATGTCTCAGTGGGTGTTACACCTGAGATCACGATGCATTTGTGTCTCACCTTGACTCCGCGAGTCCCTGGATACCCGACAGGTCCGTGAGCACCTGGTAAACCCTACGTAGTAAATAAACAAATAAATAAAACTGTATAAACAGCAACACTACTCTTCAGTTTTAGACAGCAACCTTTCTCTATGTATCAGTGAACATTACATTCAGTTGCTGTGTCAGAAAAAAAAGAAAAAGAAAAGGTGGATGATGCTGACGAGTGCATGCTGCTGCCTCTAATGGTCTAATGTTCTTGGTCACCAAAGATGATAACAGCGTATGCATGCAATCATTATAATAATGAGAGTGAGGCTTATTGTAAACTAACGTGAGTGAGTGCACAGTTACAATAGATTGCAAAAATAGCATCATATTGCAATTTTAATAGCTTGTGTATGAAAACAGACAAGTAGTAGACAAGGCAGATATGCAGTTACCCACTTGGACGCCTTTCTCTCCTGGGGGGCCCTCTCTCCCTGGGTGACCCTGAAAAACAGGAATCACAGTGATTTAGCACTGCTGAAAATACAATACATCATTACTGCATCACCCCTTGACTGAAATTTGTGAATGAAAAAGAGGAAACACCAGTGGCATTGAAAGTGAAGCACCATAAATATACCATCATGTGTCAGAACATTACAAAGAGCATTAATTAAAATTCACTATGTCTGACTGTAATCTAACATTATTTTTTGGAGAGCAGAAAAATGTCAGACAACATAAAGTGTGAGTAGACGAATTTTAATACTTTAGATTAACTATAAAACATACACAGGTTGTTTAGTTATATTTGTTGTTTATATACATTATATGATAACCTTTAATTTTTAAAATTCTGTATTGGAGATACATCATCCTACACTGCAACTCTGGTTTTCTTTGGATATTTGATATGAACTCAGTTATTTTGGATAGGGTTTCATTTATATATAGTTACTGTATGTACACTACCAATCACGTATGGACACACTTTTCCATTCCAGTTCATTGAAGTGAATGAGAACATGCATCCAAATGAATGAATGAAGGAAGGAAGGCAGGAAGGCAGGCCTGTTGGTTGGTCTGTGTGTGTATGTGTTAGTGTTAGCCAATTAAAAAAAAAAAGGATGAACAATGAAGTATCAAAATGCATTGCTTGAATCAAGTGCAGCCTTTTCTAACAAATCAGCTGATGTTGCAGAGCTGTCAATCACATTCAACTGTCACATGAGCAGCAAGCTGATCAATGAAGCAGTAGCAGTACAATCTCTGTGCATACTGTATGTACATAGATACTGGCTGTGAAAAGGTATGCATGGTTGCATGTGTATGTGTGTTTCTGCCAATAAATTCTTTTACATTTGTTCGTCTGTGTGTACTTACAGGAGGGCCATCAGTGCCTGGTAGTCCCTGCATGCCTTGCTTCCCCTGGGGACCCTGTATAGGACAGAAAGAGGTATGACTACTGGAGTTACGCTTCAGATATGATAGAACACCTCATCTTATTCCTAAAAGAACACATTTCCCACTTTGTTGCTTTGTTCCTTTACCAAACATATTGTATTCATGACTAAGACCACTTTTTATTTCTTTTATCAGTCTAGCCTCATGATGCACACTGGCTAAGGCTGTCTCTAGTGTCTGTTCTGCCTGTGTGTCTTTCTTGTGTATTGATTTCCTGTCTGGCCTTGTCTTGTCTGAATGGGTGCCAGAAGTGGCTGAGTTGTTCTGTCCTGCTCACCCTGCCTCCACTGGGTATATGATGACAGGGATCACAAGGTCACAGCTTTAATTCTGAAATTAAGTGAGAGACATGCTACCTACCTTCTCTCCTGGCAACCCAATGGAGCCCTGAGGACCAGGCAAGCCCTGAACCGGAACAAAGCATCAATTAGGTTAAGTATCACAAGACTAGGAGAAGTCAGGGAGCTGAGGTTTTCATCGAGCCTGGATGATTTTTTTTCACGAGCTAATATAAACAGCCTTGTACTTTGAATACACTGTACTGCCATGCAGTTGGATTGAGAAAGGGTTTTATATGCTTAAAAACCAGGGTAGTTTAAATAAGTAAGTATGAAGGATAGCAAAGAAAAACATAAGGGATAATTACAGTAAGAACTCTGTGAAAGAGTAAGTAATCCTTTGGGAGAAATATACAAATCAGACAGTGCAGAGTCTGTGTGAGAGCAAATTTGTTTATGCAGCTGTATGCTTACAAGTGGTTGTGTACTGTATATTTGAAAAATTAATTAATGTATAAAATGTGTCATGAGTAGATTAATAATTATCTTAGCAACAGGATAGATTTTTAGTGTGGGTACAGTACCTGTACTCCTGGATTTCCCTGTTGGCCCGGGGGCCCTATCTCTCCAGGTGGACCCTGAGAACAAGAAACACTGGTACTCATATAGTGATTTGTGTCATTATCTCATCACTTCATGAGTGGTTAGCTGGTTCATTAAATGCTATTAAATAGTTGATGTTTCTATAGCTGAAAATACTTTAAACTAATTGCCAACAACATACTCATTTTATTAAAACTCCTATAATTCAATCATGCATTATAGTCAGCAGCGGTATGAATTAGTTTACAGTGAGACAATGCATTAAGGAAAATAGCAGGTCTAACCTGGTTCCCCTTTTGCCCTTGTTCTCCATCAGTTCCAGAAATACCCTGACAACAATGCACACACACACACACACACACACACACAATGTCAGAAAATGCTGGATGAAATGTCAAAGTTTGATCTAAGAAAGAGACATTTCAGTAGCTTCCTTGTTTATCTTCAGTGGCATGTTGATGTGCTACAGGACCTTCAGCCTCACCAGTTGATTGAATGGCTCTGATCTTGTAATCAAGGCAATGCTGACTTACCACTTGGCCAGGTGGGCCAGATGGTCCCCTTGGCCCAACAAGACCCCGAGGACCCTGGAAACAAAACACAGCAAATAGTCAGCAGCTAACCTGCATTCGTGATGAGCTGGAGTGAATGTGGACGACCAAATCATAAATTAGAACTAAGGACAGTGTGTGAAAAAACAAGAAGAGACAGATATTTTAGAGTGTGGGTATGTATGTGTGCATGCACATCTGGATGTGCTAGCCTATGTTTGCATGAATGTGTTTATGTGCACTCTTTTTTTACAGGCTCCCTCTTTGTAGGCTGGCCAAGCCACCTGTTCCAAAGCCACATCTGTGATCTCCTGGGAGGTGATTGATATGGAAATATAATCATTCAGGCCAGAGTTTTATCTCTTCCCTCTCAAATCACTTCCTTTCCGCTTTCTTCTCTCCATTTCTCTTATCATGTTCACCACCAATTTTCTGTCTCACGTTTGTCTCTCACTGTCTCACTTTTTCCATCGCCCACTCTCTCTTACCAAAACAGCCAGCTTCTGTCATTTTCCATGTTTTTGTGCTTTAGTACAGCTTTCCTAACATGCTTTGTGGCGCCCTATTTCTTCCTGCAATGCATGATCCATTTAGAAGGACAGAACCCCGCTGAGCTCCAACCTCACCAGCTGAGAGGACAATAGATTGTGAGTCATAACCAATCAACTGGTGTGCAGTGCAGATACAATAAAAAAAATGTCTGCTTTCTCAATGGTGCTCTTACTGTAAGAGCTTAAAGAGCATCTCTCAGTGATTTATTACTTTGCATCTAAACTCTATGACAGATTGTCACTATACTAGTATGTGTATTTTTTGCGTTTAAGCCACACACCTGTTGTCAGTAGCCTTTTCTCTCTTAAAGCTGCATGAATAAGTTTTGACCATAATAGATTTTTATAGTGTTTTTGTTGTGTTTGTACAGCGAGCAGAAGATTTTGGGTTTTGCCTGAAACTTCTGCTAAATCTTAAATCCGCTGTTCGCCTACAATCCTCTCAGGGTTTGTCTTGGAAATTACTTGCTTCTGTGATTCTACACTAACCAAAGTGATTTTTGTGTGTTAATGTATTTCTAAGAACCCAAAGCACAGATGTGATAAATACATCCTCTATAGTAAGTATTTAATGTAAAGGAAAAAAACTTATTTTAATGTAGAGGTGTGCGTGTGATGTGGGTGTCTGTGTGTTTACATTTTAAGTGAGCATTATATCCTTCCAGATGTAGTTACTCACTGGTTCACCTGGTTGCCCCATTGGCCCCACAGGTCCATCAGATCCCTAGAATAACAAAGGAGGAAATAGATTCAATACATAAATCTCATGTGCCTCTCTGAGACAACTTCAGGCGTGGATACGCATTTATATCCCCACAGACATAGTTTGTGAAAATAGCTCATTAAAGAAATTCACTACATGACAGATATTTGAGCAAAGACTAATAGACTACTCTCTCAAACATCACCCACTCATCTGCATGGACTGATACTATTTTGACAGAGCATATATCTTTTGTAGGGGCGGCATAGTGGTGCAGTGATTAGCGCTGTCGCCTCACAGCAAGAAGGTTCGGGGTCTGAGCCCGGGCCGACCCAATGCCTTTTTGTAAGGAGTTTGCATGTTCTCCCTGTGCTTGCGTGGGTTTTCTCTGGGTACTCCAGCTTCCTCCCACAGTCCAAAGACTTGCGGTTTAGGTTGACTGGAAACCCTAAATTGCCTGTTGTTTGTCTACATGTCAGCCCTGTGATAGACTGGCAACCTGTCCAGGGTGGACCCTGCCTCTCCCCCAATGTCAGTTGGGATTGGCTCCAGCCCCCCCATGACCCTGATCAGAATAAGTGATATAAATAATGGATGGAGATATCTGAACTATTTTTAATTTTATGCCAGAGATGCAATGCCTATCTTTAACCTTAATACTGAATAAATTCAGAGTAGCATAGTGGGATTAAATATCCAGGAGTTTATGACTTAATTTCAGTAAAGCTTGCTTTGATCTGTGGTGCTTTAGAATCTTAATGGCTTGTACAGTAAAACTGATGCCTTGATATGGAAAGGATTTCCCTTTTAACTTTGCATAATGGAAAGATGAGGGAAAACAAAGCAGGATGCAGGATGTGTTTTCTAGGCTTTGTTTTTTGCAAGCAAATTTTGGAAAGTACTGTGGACTCACCTTTTCTCCTGGCTCTCCCACAGGCCCATGAGGACCAGGCTTTCCTCTGTCCCCCTACAAGATAAAAGCATTAGTCACAAGCCTCAAGGCATTTAAGACTGTTCTGTTTATAGCAGAGCAACATCAAGCAGATGTTCTTTAGTGCACACTGTCATCACAGAAATCACAACAATCATCGTGATCATAATATGCAAATAAACATATGCCATATGACAGGTAAGGTATGCCATGTTAGCTTGTTGGTGTCAGAATAACCAAACAAGTACAGTGACAATGTCAAGTTACCAAATCCAACTTACTCTGTGTCCCTTGTCGCCTGGGAGACCTGGCAGGCCGTCAAAACCCCTGTCACCCTGAGAAGTAATAAAGAAGCAAGTGCATTAAACCCTGAAACACACACATACAGTAATGTGTAAACATTAGTTGAATTGTACTAAAAGTGTCCCCTGGCAGAGTGTCCCATCTGCTCTGAGTGTGTGTCAGGGAGAGGGAGCTTTCAGATTAACTCTAGGTCTGCTAAAATGCTGCGTTGACTGATAAAGACTCTTCTGTCAGACTCGGCATCAGGGGAGCCTGATTTATTTACTAAGCTCTTCCTGAAGCGGTTGGGTATTGACTTGCCTCATTGTCAGTACATATAATAAGCTGTGGTCTGCTGTATATCTAAAAATGTTCACTTGCTGGTAGAGATAGTTTGTCATCATAGTAGACCTTGCTGCCTACATGTCTGATTTGTTGTGTTCATGGAAACAGGAAAATGGATTCAGGGAAACTCGACACCAACATCAGTGATATGGTCTAACATAGCACCAATATGTCAACCCAAGCATATATCAAAATATGAGGTACGAATGTAAATATTTTGCTGGAAGACAATGTACTGTATGTGGGTTCTTGGTACAGCTCCTTCAGATCAGATTATCACTGCTGCAATGCAGCGTAGCGAGAATTCAAAAAGCTTACCTTAGTGCCTGTTTCACCTGGTGTCCCACGGCCTCCATCGACTCCTCCACGCCCCTACAAGATACACAATCCATTTAATTTTGGTTGTGCTTTACACTACATCTGGCACAATATGTTTTTAGCACAAGATGCAAATACAGAGGTTTTCAGTGTGACAACCTGTAATACTATCTTACCCTCTTTCCTAGCTTTCCATTAATTCCAGGAGGGCCTGGCATCCCACGTGGTCCCTGTGAGGGAGGAAGAGGGCAGGACAAAAGGGAAATGTGTAAAAAGGAAAGCAAGAGGACTAAGGAAAAACAAGAGTGCTATGATGGAAACTAGTTGTGAGGCAGAAATAATCTTACAGCAGGGCCACTCTCTCCGCGGTCTCCTTTGAACCCAGTGGAACCTGGAGCACCCTACAAAACAAAAACAAATGGATATTAAAACATAGCATGATGTGCAGGAACAATTCAACTCTTATCTCAAATTTAGCACAAAACAAACAAAATACAAATGAGTTAGGAGCAAATCATCGTAAAATCATCAGTTAATTTGTGCAAACCTGATTTCACCTTCAATTTGAGCATAGTGAGCATGCATATTGATGAGGTTAGGTTGGGAAGGAGCAAGTAGAGCTTGTGTCTGGTTCACCTAATGCAAACATGAGATTAAAAGCTATAGGAGCCCTTGAGGTGTGATACAAATTGGGTTAAGGTCAGCAGAGTGCCTTACCATTGGGCCTGGTCGCCCTGTAAGGCCCACTGGACCTGGAGGTCCATTCAATGACAGCTGGAAGAAAGACACAGCTGGGTGATTTGTGTACAAGGTACCTTTTGGCTTTTAACATGCAATGAAATGGCCATAATGAAAATGTCAAAAGTCACTGATGTTATAATATGGCATGAAGATAACAAAGCACAGGATTCTGTGAACTGTACCTTGGTCTGTTGCAGGATAGCTTGTGCCTGTGCTTCAAAGGGAGACACCGCTGGTCCCTTCTGGGACTCACCTCCATATTGGAACTGGAGGCAATGTAAAGGAGGAGTCAGGTAATACTCCAGGGTTCCCCAAATGCAAATGAAGTTCAATCACACAGCCCCCCCTTGTGGTCATGCTATTACACCACACTGGGAAAAGCTGTACTGATGCTGTGCTGTTTGTGTGCTTGTGTGTGTGTGTGTGTGAGAGAAGAGAGAGAGAGTATGCTTGGCGCTTTAAGGACTTACTGGTAACATCAACAAGGTTCCCGGAGGACCTGGAATCCCATCAACCCCAGCAAGACCAGGATGTCCTGGGGGACCCTGAAAAGAGAGGCCAAGGCAAAAGATAAGCAATGACTATACACATACTGTATATGCTACAATATACAGGGAGAAAAACATCGCTGCAATCTAATCGCTATGAAAACAACCCTTGCTCTATTTCCAAAGGGCATGTCTCACACACACACACAATCTTATCTTTTGTCTACACACTGTAAACATCCATTTTAACAAATAAATTGAGGCATAAAGATTATGCTCATCAGATTATTACTGCCAAACAAGGATTCAAACAAGTAAAACATTCCTCCACTAGTGATCAAAATCATTTTGATATATCTCTTATGAATCAATGATCACTTGTTTCTAGAAAATTTCTAACACAAGTCGAGCATCATATGTTTAATTATCATACATCATTGGTGAAATAAGAAACTATAGTTCTTAAAATGGAATAACATGGGTTGCTGTAAGCCATAGAGCAGGCTTATGAATTTATACCTCAATCATTAAATTCAGGACATCCCCATGTATAAAGCCTAAAAGCCATGAGCTAACACTGGTCATTTACTGGTAAACAAGCTTATGTATGTCTCATGCTGCAGAATGAACAACAATTGCTACTCTATGCCTTTGATTCCTTTATACAGCATGTACTACCCATAATATCTGTTTCAGGACTTGGAAGCTATTTCTGCTTTCAAATTATACCAATGGTATCTTTTATAAACATACTGTATATTGGATAAATAAACTGTGACAGTGGCTAGTTTTAACATCATAGGTTAAAAAACAAAATTACAAATATTCTACCCTTACATAAATGAAACTCACGCTGTATTACACATAAAGCAATCAACAACAATTCTTTGTTTTATTTTCAGGCTAAAGTTGGATGGTTGTTTAAACCTATGCTTTTTAATGCAATAACTAAATTATGTGTAAGTTTGTTAAAGTGTTCATCCTGTACTCACTGATTTCAGTGATACTCACTAATGGAGCATCTTATTTGATTGTATCTTATGAAATATAGCAATATATAGGTTAAACCTGGACTGTAAACAGCTACTGAAAGCATGTACAGTGGCTGAGTAGAACAACCTTGCAAGCCAAGTGAATCTGCCTGGTAATAAACTGCCATTATTGGCTTAGCAAAGCAAAATAATAAGTGATGACCTACTGGGACATAGCAGAGCATCTGTCAGTGTGTGTTTGCGTTCCATTGTGATAAACCATGAACACAATACACCATTCACACAAACACAAAATGAGGAATTCAGGTCAAACACGTGTGAGTCAACATCCGTCCCAGGAGTCCAGCAGGTTCAGTTCAGTGACCCAGGATAGTGTGATCCCATGGACATGTTTCAAACTGAGGCCCAAGCCACGACTGTCCTTCAGGTGAATGGGTTGAACTGAGGTCAAACCCACTGGGCATTCAGCCAGGTCCTGAGGTCCTGAGCCACACTTACCAATTCACCAGGATCTCCCCTGGGTCCTTGAGGGCCTATTGGTCCAGCTGGGCCAGCAAACCCCTGTGAAGGAAACATCCACATCATTTAAACATAAAAGAACATTGCCATATTGTAGCTTAGTTGTCAATAAATTGATAATCTTCTTTTATTGTTACAGCCCAAAGTGCTTGACAATAATCAGCTTTTATTTATGTGATTTTAAATCTTTTTTTTTATTTATTATAATGCACGTTTAGTGGCCACTTCATAGTTTGTTTGAGAGAGTATACAAAAACACTAACTAAGTATATCATCAAATAGCCTTTCATGAAATTTTTCATTGCAGTGTACTGTATTTTTAGGTGTCAAAACCATGTAACTGTTTCCTTTTCTGGAAGCAGCTGCATCCTGACAACTACAGTCTAGAATTCTTGACGTTTTGCACCTTACAGTATCTGGACAGTTTTGACTCATGTTATATTATGCCATTTCCTGTTTTCTTCTTTTTTCAGGCAGAGAGCAGGCTTACCTCTGGCCCCGGCAGACCTGGAGGTCCTACTGCTAATATACCCTAGAAACAAGCACAGATTAAATGGAATGGACATTAGGAGAGTATCAACTCATTCCCAGGCTCATAACTAAAGCTATTAGACTATTCATTAAAAGCCTCTAGCAGCTCACTGGTTCGATAACAGCTGGCTCTCCCTTCTGGCCTTTCTCTGCTCTGAGGCTGGCCTGAGGAGGTGAAACAGATGAATAGATTTGGATTGTTAGAAATTACTTGACACAGGCAATTGAAGACATGACACACTTGATGTACAGTATGAGTTCACTCTGAGATTTACTTCTCCATCCCATGTCTCTGCTCTTTCCCGCGCTGCAAAGTCAAAGCTATCCTCATATGTTTCATACTCTTCATACTCTGACTCTGTGTCATTCTTGTAATCTTCATACTCAAGAACCTTTTAAGGAATGGAAAACTCTATTAGTGACAGGTGCAGTGAAATCTGAAATCACCTCTCAGTGTTTCTCTACAGAGGTGAAGACGTCTTGATGTTGTATTACACCTACCTCATATTCAGTAACATTCGGACCCGCTGTTACCGTGGAAACTGAGATATCATCATAGAGGTGTCCAAAAAGGTCATCGCCATACTCCACGACTGGCTTCTTCGCTGGTTTGTCCTCCTGTAAGCCGACACACAGGCTTAAATGAGTCACAGCAAAGACAAGCAAGAGACACCGAGCATTTTTTGTTAGTGCAGTGTCTACAAGTAAAAGTACATTTTGAAAAGTTTGAGGAAAATGTAAAAAAACTAGGATTTTATGGTAATGTGTTGGTTATCCAGGATACAGTTTGACAGGTATGCAGTTAATCACAATGCAGGAGTGTAATTAGCTGATGACTGCATCAGATTTATGTGGCAGCATGGGAGCGTGGCTGTAACAACTACAGAAACAGCTTGTGCATGAAAAATTTGTTAACTTGGCAAATTAGCAAAAAAAAAAAAAAAATCATGAAGGAGAGAGGGAAAATTCCTTGTTTGTTGTTGTGTGACGTTAATTGGATTTTTAACAAACAATGGTATACAGTTGTTGAGCCACATCCATAATAACATATGTCATGTGATTTAATCAATTTAAATGGTATCTGAGGACAGTATTCAACTTGAGCTGTAAAATAAATACTTATTTTTAGGTCTGCATTGAGCAAGACATATACTGTACATACCATGCATGCTATGCTTGTTGGATATGTAGTATGCATGAGCTGTACTAGTACATGTTTGACCAGAAGGCATATTGTGATTCAAATCAATTTTAAGATAAATTCTCCGTGTTTTCTGGGAGGGATGTAGAGCATCTGGTGATTAGGATGGTACTGGTTAGTAGTGGTGGTGGTGGAAAGCAGCTGGAGAGGGAAGAGGTGCTCACTATGGTTAGGAGTTATTAGAGGAGTGCTCAAAGAACTACAAATGGCAGGAGGGGTGGGAGTATAGAGCTTTTTTTTTTTCTACCTCCTCAGTAACAACCAATTCAGGCACTGCGCTGTGCGCCTCGGTTGTGGAATCAGGTTCATGTGTGGGCATCTCCATGAGGGTCTTGCTGGAGACTTCAGTGGGAATAACAGTTTCTAGGGTGCTCTTAATTTCTGGCAGCTCTGTGGGCAGGAAAGATTCTTGGGATAGATAGTCAAGTGGTGTTGTGGACACTCTGAGGAAGCCATCTTCAAGACCCTCCACTTCATCTTTTTTCTTTCTGGATTTCTTCTTGCCCTTGCCTTTACGTTTGCCTTTGTCTCTCTTCTTTTTGTTCTTTTTGCCTTTCCTGTCCTTTTTGGAGACCTCCTTCGGTTCATCTGGCTCGTTAGTTTGCATCAAGGCATCAGACCCTAGTTGGGAGTTCTTTTATATAAAATGTGAGATGAGGGCACAGGTGGGAGATAGAGAAAAAATAAATAATATTTTAAAATACAGTAAAGGAAGTAGCCTGCAAAAGAAAAAGTACAGCAATGCATACAAGTTCTGTGACCCCCTTATAGGGTCAGGCACCTTCTGTGAATCCCACTGTGCTGGTAAAACCAAAGGCAAACATGAAATGAGATACAACAAACAAATGCAGAGTTCTTTCCTCTTAGTTGAAGCAAAAGAAATATTTGCTTGTGTGGTCAGGGGTCACATTGTCAAGGATCCTACAGAGGTGCTAATTCCTAGTTTGCACCGGCAAGTGAACAAATATATCCTCCAGACTTATGTACATTGCATGTCAGTGATATGATTGAGCTCTGCCTGAAGATTATGCTGAAGGCTCAGTCTATGAAAGAAATCAATGACGTGATTTAGACCGACTTGTAAACAAGGTCAGTGTGTAAGGTAGAATGATGGAAAGTAGGTCAGCGGGGTGGCAGATGTTGACATGTTCAGGATTCAGAACTCATTGCTCAGCTGTAGTTCTATAAAAGCCAGCTGGATGACCATCTAAATGGCTTCACACGAACCATCCCTGGAGCACTATTGTTCACACAAAGTTGCATGCAGACACGTATGCACTCACATACTGTAAGTGTGCACACATACCAGTAAATACACATGGCACACTTTTAAAGCATAAAAAATAAACTAATACATACGAAATTTAAGTGATGCACTTAAAACTTTGTATTCCTTGAAGCCCAGCCACACACACACACACACAGACACGATCACATCTCTCTGCCTCTTTTCATCTGACTGCCTCCTTAAATCTATCTTTCACACACCACCAAAAAAATATACAGTAATTCATATGCATGATTGATTCATTTTTTTATAAACGCCTTGAGGAGGGTAAGAGCTATTATATTATGTTTGAGTTATAGGCTTCTCTGTGCATGTGTGTGTGTGCGTTCCACCTGAGTCTAAGAATGCTCCACTGCTGGCTGCATTTGAAAGAAGACACTGCTGCGTTGACTGATGGCCTATTCTGTCTTAATATCTCAAGTCTCTGTTTGTAAACACACTAAACATGTAGTTGGACCTCTTTTCGGCTTGGGCTGAGATCCGGTTGTAAATTATAGGATCTAATATATGTCACTATAAAACACAGGAATGCAGAAAAATGATTAAACAATGAATAAAGATGAATTACAACACCCAGTGCTTTGTTTTCAAATAGCAATACAAGCCATGTCTCTGCAGTTAACTGGCATGACCTAAAGCTGTGCTTCACTGCATCAGCTGTCAACAAGCTACACAAAGATTTGTGTAGGATTTTTCAGTGGGCATTTGTTCTTGTAGGTGATAGTAGGCTACTGACCTCCTGCAGGTCCAGAACTCGGCTGTTGTGGGGCAAAGCAGTGTCACAGTCTGGTATGTAGTTTACACAGTAGTCGGCAGCAACCTGGGGGTCCTCCACAATCAGTAGTTGCTGAATATCTCCCTAAAATAAAATAAACCAGAAATCAGACAGAAAGACAAACAAATAAGCATCATGTTAAAAAGCTGGGAATACAGGCATCACTACCAGAAACACAGACTAGCAGTTACTACACTGTGCAAGAGCAAGAAGACTGAACCTATAATAATACACTGAAACACAAAAGCCACTATGAGAACAACTAAACTGACAGCTTACCTACTGTAGCTGTAAAGCACAGTGTAATACAACAGAATCATCAAACTGCCACCACTGGTACAGTTACTGCTGACTACTGCTTTTCCGTGTTGCTGTAACTCCTGGAGGGGCCTGACGGTGCACAAAAAACAGTCACATAGCTCTGTCTCGCCCCTCTGTCAGGACCTTTCACTTCCCACTCGGCCCTGGAGGCATAACCAGTGTGTATACACAAACGTGCAAAGAGACAGCACTGCTGGACCCTGCAGCATGATTAACACAAATTAGTTTTGATGATCATGTGCCATCTCTCATTATTTTTGACATTTTATAGGTTGGATAATGAATTAAACATATATATCCAAAAGATGAATCGATATCAGAAATAAATGAGTTGCAATGCTAATTCTCTCTGAGACACAAGTTAAAAAGTCATTCAATATAAAGAAAATGCAGGCAGGGCCATGTCACAGCAATTGATACGAGTTAGATTACATTAGCACTACAGGTCTATGTACAGTAACTGACAGGCCTTGCAAACATAAACATACTGCTGGGTGAAATGTTATCCAGGGAAAGCTGAGCAGCCATGTGTGATAAATTTAGTCAGAATAACCGCTTGATGTAATTATAGTCCCATTGTAATTTCTTTAATCAGGATTAAGCAACCAGAGGTGAAATAAGTCAAAACACTTCTCCATTACTTGCCAGCAGCTCATATATCTTCTAATACAGCTCAAATCATGTTCTATCAGCGTTGCATATCTGGGCAAAGTCTGGATCACCATATACAAAACTGTAAACCCAGGAATGGTGATTAAAACAGTCATTCATGTTTTAATTCATTCAACATGAATGGAGCTGTTATCCACTTATCATTATTTCTTCCTGTTTTTGGCCATAAGCCATTGTCAAGCAAAGAAAATTATTGCACTCTAAGAAGAGAGACAGATTGAGGGAGAAGGACAACAGGGAGTTAATCTGCTCTAATCCAATCTCAATTTAACATCAAAGGCAACATTTCCACAGAGACGTTTTCCTGTTTTTCTTGCCTAGCAGGGGCTCGCTCCTCTATAAACACACAGTGAGTAAAGTGTTGCCCAGAGTCATGTGTGTTCCACCTATCTTTATTCAGGATGGATCAAGGACATCCAAAGAGGACATGCGTGCTCAAAAGGTATAGGCCTCAGCTTTCCCTTCCATCTGCAATAAGGTGTGTGGTTCCAGCTATCTGACACTCATACTGCTTTACCAAATCACAAAGCGCTGTCCACTCATTTTCAGTGCCTTAATCACAGTCTCAGTCTCTCAAACATAACATGCATTCTTGTGTGAGTCACAAGTTCATGTGGGTAAAGGAGCAACTGGTGGTTTATAACAAACAAGCTCACCATAATGAAGCAGCATTTTGATGCTCCTCATTTACTTAAAATGCAACAGATGTTCATGGCTAACCAAAGGCATCTGACCACCATCGTATGACTTAGAGCTTGACCAATTTAATGTATTAAGCTGGTAAACCAATAGGGTTGCAAAGTTTTCCAATGCAGCTGTCCTTTAATGATATGCTTGACAAGTCATGGTTTCAACATGCCTTCAACAGTTTCAACAGTGAGCCAAAAACATTTCTTATTTCCAATGCTAATCAAAAGGAAAAGGATCTGAATTCCCTAACAAATAAACATGGGCAGGATCTTATCTAAGCAGTCAGCATGTTGGAGGCACATATACACAGCGGCCAAGAAGGAGCACCACCAGACGTGTGGACAGTTTGATGTTTGCCTTACTACAAATGTAAGCAGAGTGTTGAGTTTGCACACCACACTTTTATAGTTGTTTGTAGGCAATCTGGAAGCAATAGAAACATTAGTGGCTGACCACGGTCTACATGCTCCCACGCTGTACTCCCACGCTGAGAGAACTGGGCCGGAACACCGGCCTGCTCCCCCAGAACCAGGGCCTGGGAACAGAGGCCCAGAGGTCAGCCTGCTTAATCTCTTCTCCCCTGGTACCCAACCTCGCCCGAGGTATACAACACTGATGCTTACATACGCATGGCCTGATATACAGTATAAACTTGTAGCTATGAATACAAACAGGCACACAATGAAAGTCATATTTTACCATCAGGTTAAAATGAAAAGTCTAAAATTGAAGAAATCATTTGACTGCTTAATGTTTTTTTTTTCAAATGGTCCAGAGGAAAAAATATTAAGGCTTAAATATAGATTAAATTACATGCAATTAAAAACATTATCACATAAATCACAAAAACTGCATGGACTTGACTAAAGTAAGTATAAAAAGAGTAATAGTCAATGTTGGTGGGCTGCCAGGGTCGATCATCACCACACGTACTGTATCATCATCATAACTCTTCACATAGGATGGTAAATAAAGGCATGAGAGGGTTTTTGGAGTGTAGCCAAAGATCAACACTTTCCATTGCTTCTGAAAAGGGAAATTTATAAAGCCCATGAGGAGACATATTTCTTAACTCAAGTGGTATATAAATTAATCTCAAACTTGGAAAGGCTGTCAGTGTCTGTGAGAGGAATGGGAAGCAACATGGGGGGGGGCAACTGAGGTTAAGTCAGTGCTTAGGGAAACTGGACAAAGTTAGGAAGGTAGTCACTGACTGCTCAAAATCCAGAGGTAGTAGAAGTTCACCTTTCATGACTAAGGACATCTGGTTTTCTCCTGTTGAAATTGAAGTAGGCTGTGGTTTCTGACTATCAGGCTAATAAAGAGCAGTAACAAGATTCCCTCTGTACTTTCTTAAAGGGCGGCATATTCTTGGGACAGTGAGGGGAAAGGGTTGCGAAGATGGTCGTTTCTCTGAACTTGGCTGTACCTATACCTCTGTCTATCTTCCCTTTTCTTTCTTGCTCCATTGCTGAGCACATACAGAACCCTGAGGACATGGATGGGGAAGGGGCTTGAGATGATCTCTATTTCATGCTGTGGGTGAGAGATTTAAAGCGGAGCTTCATTGGGAATGACCGTGGAGCTTGGGCTGTATATTCTCATGGAAAGCACAGAGAATGACTCATGACAATAAAGGTTACTGTACTGAAAACCGAGGACTTGGAATCACACCCAGAGTTTAGTTTGAATCACCTTGTTCTCCCCTCTTCTTCTCTGCATATTGATACAGGTCTCAACATATATTCGAATGTTTTTAACTGTAGAGATGCACTTCAGCATCAAATGAGCAATCTTTTCAGGTAGAAGCAATTTTGAATGCATAAGCAGAAACACCATATGTGATACACATCCCCTGCCACTCAGTGATAAAAATGCCCAACATGTGCAGTCACAAAAAGCAGGTATGAAGAGGATGAGCTCAATCAAACATGTTTTTTAATGCCCAAATGCACAGATGGCCATTCAGATTCACATTAACACAACAGCCAACAAATCCAACTGGCAAATTCAAAATGCAAATCAAAATTGTTATTTTCTGGCTTTGAAATAGAAATTATGAGGCTGGGCATGTCTGAACAGCGCCCCCCACCTCCACACGCCCTCCCTAACACCTCTTTTCTCCCACACTGCTTTGTTTTTTCAGCATTTGATTGACAGGAAATTCCTTTCAGCCCATAGTGTCTTGAACTTTTAAATTTTTCCCTAAGTGGCACTAAAGGTAGAGCGAAAATTCCACCAAATCTAAGACAGTTTCTTCTTCTCACCATTTCACTGACACAATTGTAGGCTACACTGTATCTTGCTCCTAACATCATATACAGTATGATGCATGGCAATGCATTTAAATTATACAGAGAACTATTCAAACTCAATATCTTTTCTTTGTTATGTGCAGTTCTCCAAAATTAGAACTGGTGTATTTTGTATGTTTTAGAACTTGAGGAGAATTTAAAACAAAGTGAATCTGAAAAATTCGTGGCATCTTGGCAATAGATGCAGCTTGAAGAAGTGACCTTCTTTAAACTATCCAAAGTCTTCATGTTACTGAACTGGTTATAGCATAGCAGCAGCAGCAGCACAGATTAGATGCACTGAATTTGGTTGAATGAGAAGAAATCTATATATATAAAGTATATAATATAAAGGCTGACAAATAAAGTAAGAAAGAAGAAATGTAATACAAATCAAAACAAAGGCATCAGGATATTTGATACGACACCAACGCTCATGAACTTCATTTGTCTAGTTCAGCATACAAATGCAAAAAACACACTTGCTGGCAACCTGCTGCGTTCTTTGGCTGTAGTACATGATAACCAACCAGACCTGCTGAAAATGTAGCTAAATACAATGAAAAATGGAATTGGCTTAGTTAAAAGTTTGATACACAAATAAAACACTGTTTTCAGGGGCTTGCACAGCCTGATAATTTCCTACCTCAAATACATTTTCATCCAGCAGCCCTGTCCCAAACACGATGATGCCCTCTGTGCTGACTGCTCCAGTGTCTCGTAGCAGATCCAGGGTCTCTACCCTCTGACAGTCCAGGTAGAGGGTCACAGACTTGTCCTGCACACTGTAGGCTATCCTGTGCCATCTGAAAGATCAAAGGTAGAATGAGCATTAGCAAACAGTTCAACCTTGGAGAGAGGTGTTGTGAAAATGTAGTAGTGCATGTATTTTGTGTCTGAAAATAAGCCCAGCAAAACTGGCAATGCAATTTTTTTCTCTGGTCAATCAAACCAGAAGTGCTTTGTGTCCAAAGCTGTGAATGATTTGTTTAATTCCTTTTATTAACTCAAAGCATTGCAGTAAGAATTCCACAAGCACCTTTTTCTGTTTAAGGTCACTAAAGGTCAAGTGATTAGACTGCAGAAATAGGAGGCTGTCTTCAAATTTCAAGGCATTTAAAAATTATACATGCACAATTAGTATAATGTTCACAGTGCTGATCTATTGAGCACACACAGCAGATACAATAAGCTGTCAGAATTAGGAGAACTACAAAACATATTTTATTAATATGTGGCCTAATTAAGAAGTTATATGCCCTCAAACTACGCACTTTCCATCGGCCAAGCTGACCGTCTTGAAGATGGGGTACATTTCTGGTGGGGGATGCCCGAGGTCGTCCTCATACAGGAAGACAGGCGAATGACCCACTTCAAGCCCCAGCTGCTGTACCCCCTGGTCATCATACACTGAAAGCAGGAAGAACTGGGAACCGTTTTTAGCTCGCAATGTAGTCATCAGGGAAAAATCCTCAGGAAATTTGGAATCTGGAGGGAAAGCGGAGAGGAGAGGAGAGGAGAGGAGAGGAGAGGAGAGGGAA